AAAAAAAAAAAGCTAATTGTGCGTTACAGAAAAAAATAAAAAACACAAGCAAAGAACAAAGTCATCCAGTCACAAGCAACTTAGCTGGACTTGTCCCTCCAGGTTGTACGTGTACATACATAATATCCCATTTTGTGTAACTAAGATTGTAGTGTGTATCATGCTTTTCCACGCATCATGATTATTCACCAATTCAAAATCCCAAAGCTACATGAGTATTTTTGATAACCAAGAACATAACACTAATTGTCTAATTGTCTGACAACGTATGCATTAATTCAGTTGTGAAAGGGTTTCTTCCAGGTACTCAAATGTAGTCCTTAAACCAAACTTCCAGTGGGACCTTCTATTTAGATAGTATTTGCTGGCACATGGCAATATTAAGTTTCAGTTCTCATTATTTAAAATGACTAAAGTTGGTAGAGAGGTGACTCCTTGGATAATCAATCACCTGATGTGCAGTTAACAGATTATATTACCACTGGAGATGTAGCTCAGTGACAGAATGTTTGCCTAGCATGTATAAGGCACTGGGTTTGATCCTCWGCACAAAAACAGAATTTATTACTATTGTCCATGTTGAAGYTTTTAAAAATACAGACCCTGATAAGGCCAAGATGGCCACCTCCAGCTTAGTACCCATGTGAGGCCAATGAATGGTCCTTGAAGTCATCTCCTTAAAAGCCACGCCTAGCCCTCATTCTTGAGCTAGGTGTGCTGTTGAGAGTTCAGAGCAATGGCAGTTCTCTTAGGGGGGTGGGTAGAGCTTGTGGGGCTGGATTTCCGTGGCCTCTGGGTGTTCCAGGATTAATCTGTATGAGGCTCACCCTTCTGCTCTGGAAAGTGGTTCATGGTTGGAATAAGAGGAGCATGTTTGGAATATATGACAAAATTGGGGTCCTGGGAAACTCAAAAACCACTCTAAACTTAGGCCCTGTATGGCTTCAAGACTGGAAAAAGAAAAAAAGAAAAAGAAAAAAAAAGACTGGAAGAAGAATGGATTGCAACATTGTACCTGAAAGAAGAAATCATTGGAAATCTAATGTTGATATCAGGCAAAACCCTTAACAAATGTATCTGCTATCTCTATATACACTTTAACAGACATGGGGAGTATGGGTAGAAGGAAGGTTGGAATTTGTGGAAAAGGCACATCAATCACCATGGAAAAGAACAGGACTTGTATGAGGAAAGTAATAAATTGGGCTTCTTTGGAAAAAATAAATATAAAAATAAAGACTTCTGGCTGGAACCACTATCTTCCAGTAATTCACCAAAATGACAAACAAAGGTAAAGAGGAGAGGAACCTGATATATTTGTTCTCTAGGCCTTTTAGAAAACATGGAGTTGTTCCTTTGGCCACATATATGCAAATGTACAGGAAGGGTGATATTGTAGACATTAAGGGAATGGGTGCTGTTTAAAAAGGAATGTTCCACAAATGTAAGTATTAATGGCAAAACTGAGAGAGTCTACAATGTTATCCACCATGCTGTTGGCATTGTTGTGAATAATCAAGTTAAGGACAAGATTCCTGCCAACAGAATTAATGTGCGTATTGAGCATATTAAGCACCCCAAGAGCTGAGACAGCTTCCTGAAACGTGAAGGAAAATGATCAGAAAAAGAAGGAATCCAAAGAGAAAGGTAACTGGATTCAGCTGCAGCACCAGCCTGCTCCATCTAGAGAAGCACATTTTGTGAGAACAAAAGGAGCATGAACTGCTGGAACCTATTCCCTATGAATTCCTGRACATAATAAATGTAAAAATAAATTAATAAAAGCCTATGGACTATAAAAATAAATAGATTGAACCCACCCAGCACAGCTGCTTGGGAGGCTGAGGCAAGAGGATCCTGAGTTCAAAGCCAGCCTCAACAAATCAGTGAGATACTGTCTCTAAATACAATATTTTAAAATGGRATAGGGATGTGACTCAGTGGTTAAGCACTCTGGGCTCAATCCCCAGTACCATAAATAAATAACTAGATAGATAAATAGATAGATAGATAGATAGATAGATAGATAAAATATAGATCCCTACCAAGCATTTAAAGAATACTAATCCTTTTTWAAAAATTATTCTTAAATTATTCCAAAAAACTAAAAAGGAATGAATTCTTCCAAACTTGTTTTACAAAATCAGACAAGGACACAACAAACAAAGCTATAGACCAATATCCCTGATGAGCATACATGTAAAAATCTTCAACAAAATACTAGCAAATAGGGGCTGGGGTTGTGGCTGGGGCTGGAGTTGTAGCTCAGCGTTAGAGTGCTCGCCTAGCACATGCGAGGCCCTGGGTTCGATCCTCAGCACCACATAAAAATAAACAAAGGTATTGTGTACAAATAAGAAATAAATATTTTAAAAATACTAGCAAGTAGAATCCAATAGCACATTAAAAAGTTTATTCACTACATATAAATCAATAAACATGATACACTATGTCAACAGAATGAAGGATAAAAATCATGTGATCATCTCAATAAATACAGAAAAAAGCATGTGACAAAATTCAACATCCCTTCCTGATAAAACCTCTGACCAGGTGTGGAAGGAAAATACCTCAGCATAATAAAGTCCATATATAATAAGTCATTGTATGAACACAACACAATGCTATGTGTAGAAAACCCCAAATACTCCACCAAAAAACTACTAGAATTAATAAACAAGTTTAATAAAGTTGTAGAATTCAAAATCAAAATACATAAATTAGTGGTGTTTCCATGCCAATAGTGAATAATCCAAAAACAATCAAGAAAGCAATTCCATTTACAGTAACTAAAAAACAAGAGGCTTGGGATGTGGTTCAATGATATAGGATTTGCTTGGCACGCCTGAGGCCCTTGGTTCAATCCCCAGTACCACAAAAACAAAACTAAAACCAAGGGATAAATTTTAACCCATGAGGTGAAAAATCTCGAAAATAAGAAAAAAAAATTGTTGACATCCTGTGTTCTTGAATTGGAAGAATCAATATTGTTAAAATGTTCATACTGCCCAATGCAATCTACAAATTCACTGCAACCCTTACCAAAATAACACTGACATCCTTCATGGAACTAAAAAAATCCTAAATTTTTTATAGAATAACAAAACCTACCATCACCAACAACAGCAAAAAACCCAACCAAATAGCCAAAGCAACATTGTGCAAAAAGAACAAAGTGGGAGACATTTCACTACCTGACTTTAAAATACACTGTGAAACTGCAGTAATCAAAACAGCAATGGTATTGGCATTAAAAAAAAAAAAAAAAAAAAAAGACCAATGGAACAGAACAGAGAACCTAGAAGTAAACTCACACACTACAACCAACTGACCTTTGACAAAGATGCTAAGAAAATGCTTTAGGGAAAGGACAGTCTCAAGTGGTGTTAGAAAACTGGATATACACACACAGAAAGAAATTGGGTCCCTTTCATCACACACACACATCAACTCAAGATGGATTAAAGATTTAAATGGAAGACATGAAATTACTTGAAGAAAACAGGTAATTGTTTCAGGATATTGGAATAAACAAGGATTATTTTGCGGGAGCGGGTACTGATGATTGAACCCAGGATACTGTACTACAGAGCTACATCTCAGTCCTTCTTGAGACAGGTCTAAGTTGCTGAGGCTATCCTTGAACTTCTGATCCTGATGCCTCAGTCTCCAAGTCACTGGGATTACAGGCATGTGCCACTGCAGCCAGTTTGGACAAGGATTTTTTTAAATAAGACCCCCAAAACACAGGAAACAAAGCAAAAAGACAAACAAAATGGGATTATGTCAAACTGAAAAGCTTCTGCAGAGAAGAAACAACCAACATAGTGAAGGAAAACAACCTACAGAATGGGAGAAAATATTTGCAAGCTATAGAGACATTCATATACAGAATATGTAAGGAACTCAAAAAAACAAAAAATAAAAAATGCACAATACACTTAAATAGATAATTATCAAAAGACAATCCAACAGGTATTAATAAGTTCAAAATCATCAGATAAATGCAAATTAAAACCACAATGAAATATCATCTCATTCCAGTTAAAATGGCAATTATCAAAAAGACTAAGATAACAAGTGCTGGTGAGGATGTGGAGAAAAGGGAACACTGATGGTAGAAATGTAAATTAGTATGGCCATTATTGAAAACAGTAAGGAGGATTACTCAAAAAATTAAAAATAGAACTACCATATGATTCAGCAATCCCACTAATAGGTATACATCCAAAGGAAATAAAACCAGTATGTTAAAGAAACATCTTCGCTCCCATGTTTGCTGCTGCATTATTCATAAGGGCAAGAAATTCCATCAACTGATGTCCACTAATGGATGAATGGATAAAGAAAATGTGATATACAAATATGGAATACTGTACAGCCATAAAGAGTGAAAACCTGTCACTTGCAACATCACAGATGGAATTGAAAGACATTACATTCAGTGAAATAAGCCAGGCACAGAAAGGCAAATACACAGCATCTCGTTCACATTAAAAAAAAAAAAAAAAAAAAAAAAAGTTGCTTTCATAGTGGGAATAAAATGTGGTTTGTATATGCTGGTGAGTACAGTTGGGGAATCCCAAGGCCAGTCTCAGAAACTTAGCCAGACATTAAGCAATTTAGACTGTCTTAAAAAAAAAAGCAGGCTRGGGATGTAGCTCGGTGGTTAAGTCTGGATTCAATGCCAGAGAGAGAGAGAGAGAAGAAACACAAATGTTGAATGTCTTCATCATAAAGATACTTTTTCCAGACAGAAATATTTACCTAAAGTGTATATTATATAATGTATGCGTGCATTGAAACATTACATTACATGGTACTTCATAAATATGTACAATTTTTCCATGTCAATTTTTAAAAATTGCAGGGCGCAGTGGTAATCTCAGCAGCTCAGGAGACTGAAGCAGGAGTTCACAGCCAGCCTCGGTAACAGCGAGGCGCTGAGTAACTCAGTGAGACCCTGTCTCTAAATAAAACACAAAATAGGGCTGGGATGGGCTCAGTGGTTGAGTGTTCCGGAGTTCAATCCCTGGTGGAAAAAAAAAATAAAGTTTTAAATTCCTAGATTTCTATTCTAATTCGTTAAATTCTGGACAAATCCCTGGAATGTGTATTCCTGTAAGTTTAATGTGTACCTATGTAAGACAAACTTCTTTTTCCGCCTTAGCGGCAGAGACTGTAGGGTGCCTTTAGCTCTGGGGGCACCAGCGTGGGTACCACAGTCAAAAGAGAAGCCTATTGGGGGGCTGGGTTTGTGGCTCAGTGGTAGTGCGCTCGCCTAGTATGCGTGAGGCACTGGGTTCAATCCTCAGCATCACACAAAAATGAAATAAAGATATTT